GTATTTTCCCATGTGCGCTAAAAAATTCGGAACTTCGACTTGTGTGGTTGAAATTACTTTATAATCGGCCTATCCGGACCGGAAAATTCCGTCGATATAGCCAAAATTCGACTTATAAAAATTCGAATTAAACAAACAATTTACACAGTAATACATAGGAAAGAATTGGGACTTTTTCAAAAATTCGACTGACGCGAATTTTCGACTTTGGCGGACTCGACTGAATAAAAATATATAAATTACAAAACCACAGTAAATATTGTATAATAACATAGGCCTAACACATTTAAATTTATTGTTTATAGTCATCTGTCTAATTCAGTCGGCTTACCAGATAGTAAAAAACAAAAACTCCATACATTCTTATCATTATTATATATAAGTTTTACAAATAGTACAAAAATAAAAATATATAAATTACAAAACCATAGTAAATACTGTATATTAACATAGGCCTAACACATTTAAATTTATTGTTTATAGTCATCTGTCTAATTCAGTCGGCTTGCCAGATAGTAAAAAACAAAAACTCCATACATTCTTATCATTATTATATATAAGTTTTACAAATAGTACAAAAATAAAAATATATAAATTACAAAACCATAAGGATAGTAAATACTGTATATTAACATAGGCCTAACACATTATTAATACGATTTTGCAATTATACAACTTCATTTATTTTTATAAAAATGTAGTACATAAAATTACATTTTTAATACGATTTTGCAAGACTGTGGGATGAATATGTAGCTGGTATCTGGGGGGTTCATTCACTGATGACATCGGCAAGCCGACTACATTCACTGAGAGACGCACTACATTCACTGAGAGACGCCCTTGGCGTTCCATAGAAAATACCGGCGGCTCAACTTGTCGGCGGCTCAACCGGTCATATCCCGCCTAGGCTAGGGCCTTATTTATTATATTATTGATGACATCATTGTCCATTTGAGGCGTACGCAAAATCCTGGGGACGTAAAATCTGGGTACGTAAATCTAAGTTCAAGTGTACTATTTTTAAGTAGGCACCTAGGCCTACTTCTATCTACATGATACTTTGCCAAGCTAGGCTAATCCTTGGCCGGATCCCTGTGTAGTATGGGAGACAGAGAGATTCGGTATGGGCTTGTTGCATTTCCGGCCAAAAAGGAAGGCCAGGCAAGGTACAGCATGCAGGCCGATCTACACAACAACGGCAGCCTATAGACGCTAGAAAGTTACTTAAAAACAATGGACGCATATAATATGGTTCATAACAATGATTAACCAATAGAATACTCACAAACGATAGTCTGACAAGTGCACAAAAAAGTTCGCTAAAGAAATCTTAAATCTTTCTTCTTCAGATGGAGTTCATGCACCGCATGCATCAACATACCAAAGAGGATATAACTCAGGACAGCGCCACCAACGAGCTGATTAATTTGAAGCATGCTGGGTTTTTTTTTCCTTCTATCGGCGGGCGGCGATTTTTCCGTACGAAACATTTACATGAAACTCCACTCGGCCGTCTCGGCTGAATCGATCCGAAAATCTCATTGCAGAATTCGGGAGGTCAAAAGGTTATCAACAGATAAACGTCTACAAAACAACTTCTGAGAGAACGTCGCTGTCTAATTTTTAAAAATACATTGATGTTACCATGTTAATACCAATGGGTCGTTTAAAATGACATACACACAAAAGAGGCGGGAAAAGTTTGTTCAGAACCATGAATAATATCAGTAATTTCAATAATAAGGAATAAGAAGAGATTGTTAAGATTAAGGCCAATTATATGGTTTAAACCTTCACATAGGGCATAGACATAGACATAGATCACTTTATTCGTCATGAGTTTAAAATGTAAGTCTCATGAAAATTATTTTCCTTGGCAGGACAAAAACATCAAGTATGAATTTAACACTAGACCACAAGCAAAAATACACCAAGAATATACAATAACAACTAAAAAGATGATGACAGAACTGTCCAACAAGCAAAATCCTAACTAACATATTGCCCCCTTTCTTTTTGGGATTTATCGATTCATGAAAAAAAGAATACGTATGCAACTACTCATTTTTTTAAATGTGTGTATACACACATAACAGGCCTATTTACTGTAATGAGAAAGTTCACCTTACCGTTTTTAAAAGGGGAAAAACCTTGAATTTTGAAGAACAAAGTCATTAGACACCTAAAGTAAGAAATCAAAATTTTCCCGGGTGAGGAATGTTGACCCTACCACCTAGATTTGATTCCAGATCTGTATGATTCATATTCCCATTCATCTTATAAGTGGGCCCCTCACTTTGAAAAACGTTCCGCCGGCCCTAAACGAGAATGGAGTTTGTATTTACATTGTTTAAAGACGTTGTAATTTCATTACAGGTGGCATTGTAATTTAGTTCTTTTATTTAGATTACACCAGTTATTCGGAATAGCATTTTAAAGTTTATAATCGATCAAAAAAGCATTTCTGTTAACACATTATTAGGATCTCATTAAATTCAATGTACCATCATCAGTGTAAAATTCATTTACATAAACAAAATCGTTCCTAATCGAACTAGGCCAATGTAGAGTTTTACCTTTATATTTAATACAATTTTTAGACCATGACATTATCATGAAGAAACATTTATGTCTAAGACAGTATGTAAGTCATACCATTTCTGTAGTCAGTATAGTGTGGACTAATTAGTGCATATTTTTAATATTTACCGGTACGCACTATACATTTAAGAGCCAAGACATGAATCTCCCGGAGTAATTTTTTCAGGAAAGTAGAGTGGAATGTTTTTTTTTTTGTTTTTTTTTCACGTTGAGATTTTGTCATCAAACAACATTTTCATACATTTTGTTTTAGCTGATTCAATTTTACTTGGGAGATGGATCATATCAGGTCTACCTTCACTTTTTGGCCAATCACTGTTAATCTCTTAAGTTTATTCTTCTTTCTTTTCCCATAGAATTTAAAAAGGAAGCTTTCAATCCTCTTACAATATCTGGAGGGTCAAGCGTCTTTGTTAGAAATAACGTCTGAGTTTTTTTAATGTTTGGGTATTTGTGACGAGAAGGGCCGCTTCACATTATAGCAACTTTTACAAATCGGACTTGAAAGGTAAGCATTAGAGAAAAATTAGGGGATTACCCTGAAAAAGTAAAATGTACTATTGTAAACGTTTGTACGCTTCCATAATGATAATCTTCAACAGGATATGACTCAGCAATATCGCAACACAATTAATCTAGAAAAAAAAACCAAACAAATATTTGTCAACTTTGTCTATATACAAATTACGCCCGACTGAACCGTTTGTGGTCATTCTGATTCTGCAAGCAGACGACTGTACAGAGTTCACGCTCTTGTGAGTAAAAAGACGAACACTCATCTGATCATGCCATCCTATCCAAAACATCATGCTTCTGGTAAGATAAAGTTTTGGTCTTGACTTTCAATGCATCTGTTGATTCTGATTTGGTGTACCATGAAGGTATAATAAAAATGTGTAGCCTACTCAGTCATCTTTGCAAGCCGTAGAAAGAATATGAATGTGTTCTAAATCGCCTAGCTATAAATAAACTTGATTCATTATTGAAATAATAATATTGTAAACGGTTAAAAGAAGAGCAATCAGCGAGGATCTCCGCAACTGGAATTTGAAACCGGGCATTGTCTTTCCCCAGTATGCCCCCACCTCCGCCGTCGGGAAAAACAACTTCCTTAAGAGAGAAAAAAAAAAAGTAGGAATAGGCTACAGCACAATGAAACCCCTGCCATAGCTCGGGTCACCTGGGCGCCCGACGCCCACGGCTCTCGTCTGAGATATAGGCAGCAGTCCCTTCCCCCAGGGGGGCGCCAGTGAGGGAAGGGTGAAAAAAAATTATTCCGGGATTGTAGGCCAAGCCTGTATTTCTACAAGACTAAAAAAAAAATCGATTGAATAACTTTGAAGCCTGAAGGCCCTAATTTAATTGCCATCCGGGAGACCGTCGGAGACGTGACCTCGGCCCCCCGTCTGGAAAATCCGGCACCTGTCTCTTATACACATCTAGATGTGTATAAGAGACAGGTGTATATTAGAAAAGAATAGCCTACAGTGGTATGACGTACTTCCGCTAAAAAGCGTAACCGATATTTCTTTGCCTAAACCAATGTTATCAGCCCTGAGCGCGCTGCATGCACAGTCGGTGTAGGCTGGGCCCTCCCTTATGGAACGCCCACGCCCACAGTGCCTTCTGCGGCGCCTATAGCATTTGGATGTGCATTTACCATTCGGCGACCCATTGTATTCGGCGCATTTGTTATGCGGCGGCGACTATGTATTCGACGCATTTGTTATTCGGCGGCGACCCTAGCATTTGGCGACTACATCATTCGGCGACTTTAGCATTAGGAGTCTGAAGCTATACATCATTTGGCGACTTCAGCATTCGGCGACTATAGGCCTGTATCAATTGGCGATCATCCAATAGGATAAAACGGGTTATTTCCAACGCCTGCTTAAAAGCCTAACTTAGCTGTATGGCCTATGTGTTAATCTGGTGCTTCTGTTTATGTTTATGTTTTTCTACTACATTTGAAGAAGAATAATGAAATGCACATGATTAGTATATTTTGATGTTACTTTTAACAGTAATAAAGTGATTTCATGGTCGAAAGCAATGATTCTGTGACATTTAAAAGGTCGTGTAGTCCAGTGTCCTTGGCCCATCCAGTACTCTTGGAGTGTTTGGAATATAACCTCATAGACAATTCCTAATATATCTTAAGAAAGCATTTTATTTTACGTGTCATGGGTTTTGTAGGTCAACGTATTTATAAAGTACCGTACTGTATATATGTAAATAGGCCTATAAGTATTATTCTAGTAACTTCTTGCACAGTTATACTATATTGAATTTCCAGCTTCCTGCCTTCAATACTGTTATTAAAACTATTATTTTTGCTATTATGTCCCGTTTACTATATTTTTTTTATTATTTATAGGCCTACATTTTATTTGTTTAATTTAATGCTTAGTATATTTTTACTGTTAAAATGTTAGTCGCGCCGCTGACTCTTCCTACACAGTTATTTAATCATATCCATATGTTTAGCCTTTTTATTATTATTAGCTTATTATGCTTTCCAACAACACAACACATAATGCTTCATTGTGCTTGCTTATATTTTTGTTTCGTTTATATAAGAACCAGCACAATTTTGCCCAGGTTTAGCGTGTTCTTATTTTTAGGCCGATTTCAGGCTAAAAATATTCTTATTTTATTCTTATTTTTACACACTCTTCAAACTTAGAAAATTATTTTACAGACAGTATATTACTTTACTGTATTATAGAGGGTATTAACACCACTGCAAATAAGGTACAGATAGATTTGTTGGTCTTTTATAAACATATAGGCCCTAGGTCTATATAAAATCATCATTGATATTTTACCTCAGCCTTAATTTGTTCTTATTTTGTTCCTAATTTTTTTAAGAGATTTATGCCTCAGCGTTCTTATAAAAAGTGTATCTGCTGTTATTCTGTGACTATACCATAATCT